ATACTCGACCCCTCAATTCCGGGAAAGTACACAGCCGTCGATGCACAGCTGATATCGAGCGCTCATGTGCGCATACAAACGCGTGGAAAGAATTCAAAGAGTTATATTTCAAGCTGAATCAATGGACGCACGATAAGAAATTCAAGGATGTGAAGTTTTTCCTAAAGGTTCTGCAGCCTCCCGAGGATAAATACAGACGTCTCCGTACTGATCCGTGAGACTCTACTAAACCTGCTCATGACTCGTGAGACCTACGTAACCTGGGCTCTGATATCAACTTGTCACGACCCTAAAACTGACCCGATCGTGATGGCGCCTATCGTGAAACCAGGACAGCCAACACAACTCCTGAATTTACCATTTAATCAATAAAAATCATTTTTAAGACTTTAATTAATCAGAAATCTCATAATGTAAGTCTAAATGAATAATGCGAAAAAAAATACACAAGCCCGACATCGGGGTGTCACAAGTCACGAGCATCTACTAATATCTGAATACAATGAAGAGTCTGAAAATATACTATAACAAGCCAAGGGAGATAAGAGGGAGAGAGCAGGGATGCGAATGCCGGGCAGCTACCTTGCTACGATGACTCTGCCACTGAGCAATCAACACCCGCTACCGGATTCTGAAATACCTGGATCTGCACACAAGGTGCCAGGAGTAATGTGAGTACGCCAACTCAGTAAGTAACAAAAGTAAATGAAAGCTGAGCAGTAAGAAAATACGTAAGCCACATCATAGCGCTATAACAAATGCAGTACATTTCCAAAACAGTACAGAAATCGTTTACTTCGTAAATCATGCTCAGTTTCAGTAAAACCTTTTAAAACAACTTTCAATAGTTTCAAACGAGTGATAAAATAGTGAGTAAAAATGATAGAAACACAAATAGCCCCTCGGGCAAAACATGTACCATAAACCGCCCCTCGGGCATAATATCAACAGAACCAGCTCCTCGGGCTACCTCACAATCACTCGTAATCAGCCCCTCGGCATAACATGAATCAAGAATCGCGCCTCGGGCAACATAGATCAAGAACAGCCCCTCGAGCTTCAATATGAAACAACAACAGCCCCTCGGGCTACAACATATCACGCAGACTAGGTACCCGCGCTCACTGGGGGTGTACAGACTCCGGGAGGGGCCCCTTACGGCCCAAGCACAATAACAAGCCATCTCGTGGCAAAATCAAACAGGCTCTCGGCCTCATGTCAATCACAAGACACCTCGTGGCATAATAAATTAAGCCCTCGACCTCTCATATATCACAAATCAGTACCACATGCTGCGGCGCGCAGCCCGATCCCATGATATCCTCACAACACAGGCCCTCGGCCTCACTCAGTCAGATCTCACTCAAGCCCCTCGGGCTGACAGTAAAACAAGTACTTGACTCAAAACCATTTATAAAATCAAAAGGAGTGAATAAAACCGAGTTATGAGAACAGTAAGAACATAGCACTGCTGAGTGTAAACATTAAACCAAAACAGTGAGGAAAAACAGTAGTAAAAGCCCCTAAGGGTCCAAACAATCGGCACAAGGCCCAGACACGACATTTAGCCCCAAACACAATAATATTTTCCAAAATATAACAATATGAAATAGTTTTCAAGAAAATATGTGACTTAATAGTCGTACGGGAAGGACCAAGTCACCATCCCCAACGGTGCACGACCCCACGCACGTCATCTAGCGTGTGCGTCACCTCAAAATAGCACAACGATGTGAAATCTGGGGTTTCATACCCTCAGGACAGGATTTAAAATCATTACTTACATCTATCCGGTCCAAACTCTAGCCCGCGATGCCTTTGCCTCTCGAATCGGCCTCCAGATGCTCCAAATCTATCCAAAACAGACTTATACCGTCAAAATATGCTAAGGGGACAAAGCCCACTCGAAAATAAGCAATTTACATCAAAAATCCCAAAATTGGCAAAACCCGACCCCCGGGCCCACGTCTCGGAATTCGACACATTTTACATCAGTAGAACCCTTATTCCGCCACGAGTTCATGCATACCAAAAGTATCAAAATCGGACCTCAAATGGCCCCTCAAATCACCACTCAAAGCTCTCCAATTAACCAAGTCCTAACCCCCAAATTTGCCACTGATTTCCCTTAAATTTCATGCTAACAACGATAAAAATCACCATAATAACGAGCTTAGGAACCAAGTACCTTACCTCAATGAATCCCTCAGAAAATTTCCCTTGAAATTGCTCCCAAAAGCTTCTTCCCGAATGAAATATCGAGAAAAATGGCCAAAATCGCGAAGGGTGGAACTAATAGTTTCAGACCCAGCAAAACCGCACCTGTGGTTAAATGGTCGCACCTGCGGTCCCAGGTGCGCACCTGCGAAATTCACTTAAAACTCCAAGGCCGCATCTGCGCAAAGAAATCCGCATCTGCGCAACTGCAGGTGCCACCAGGACCTCGCTTCTGCGGTCCCAGCATGCCCCTCTCCTGGCCGCTTCTACGGCTCCATAATCCGCTTTTGCGAGTCCGCACCTGCGGTTCCCTAGCCGCAGGTGCGGTTATGACAGCAACAGAATATTTCAGCTGCCAAACCCAACTCAAAATCACCCGTTAACCACTCGAAATCACCCCGAGGCCCCCGGGACCTCAACCAAAAGCACGAACAAGTCATATACCACTAAACAAACTTACACAAATCTCCAAAACACCTCAAACGACATCGAATCAACCAAATAACCTCGGATTCAAGCATAAGGTTCCAAAATCTTCCGAATTCCGCTTTTGATTAAAAAGTCTATCAAACCACCTCCGGATGACCTGAAAGTTTGCACACACGTCACAAATGACACAACGGACCTACTCCAACTTCCGAAATTCCATTTCGACCCCTATATCAAAATCTCATCTATCAACCGGAAAACGCCAAAATTTCAATTTCGCCAATTCAAGCCTAAATCTACTACGGACCTCGAAAAC